AATTATCTGTTATGATCTGTCCGTTATTGATAATACAATGTGGTTACTTTGATAACTTAAATATGATAATTATTTTCATATTACTTTGATATACACTTGAGTAAACTATTTAACCTTTTATTTTAAAATCTACATGGTATCATTCATACAATATGGTTACTTTGATAATTTAAAAATGATAGCTATTTTCATATTACTTTGATATACACTTGAGTAAACTATTTAACCTTTTATTTTAAAATCTACATGGTATCATTCATTCATATTGTGTTTACACAGGAGACAGTAATGGCAACTGTGCCATTTTGTTGTTTTCGTATCTATCTTGCAACTTAAATGAGTGTAACTTATCGTTTATCGGGGGCACGGATAAGCCGTAGCTACTTATACTTGTATTTATAGGTAGAACGACACAAGTGTTATTTCATTATCAGTAACGATATTTGTGTCATTCTGTTGATTTCTCCAGCATTTTGCTTCTTTTCCAACAGAACGACCTCAAACATTGGATCCCATAACTTAAGAAAGTAAGAAAGGTTGATCATGTGACAAACAACTGTTGAATTAACATAAATTTTATGATATCAAGTCGGTGAAATTACAAGTAATTGTATTGATTCGTTAGAACATATAATTAAGGGAAAATTGCAGCCACAGTACCAAATCTTTCATTTAGTTGTAGTCTTTGTCCAAACCTTTCTTTTGTACCACCCACGGTACCAAACCTTTAAAAAACTGGCACCTGGAGTCCAAATTGACAAAAACCATTAGTTTGACCGTTAGTTGACCAAAAATTAAAAATCTGACCAATTGTTGACTAATTTTTAAAGGGTAAAATTGTAACTTTACATTGTTTTCATATAAAAAAACTAAAATAAAAAACCCCCAAAATGCTGACACCACCACAGCCACCTCCGCTACCATCCTTCAGCCCCAACTTAAAGAAATTGTAACTGGAGACTTAAAAATACAACCCTCCCTTTTTCATTCATTATCTTACCTTAAAATACAAATTATTTGAGCAAATGTCAACCTCTGAAATTTCATTGCCTTCACCAAATTCATTTACTAAGGTTCGGTTTCTTCACAGAGAATTCAAATATTATGGAAATGGGTTATGATTCTTGTGGTGATTCATTGACATTACCTAATGCTTCATTTAAGTTGCTTGCTGCCCTGCATGCTTTTTCTTGGGATTCCATTAATGGTAGCCAATCAGAGTTCTGATTTCTGGAACAGGGAAATCATGTTGTTAGATCTCTCTTTACCAATTTTAGGAATACAAATAAGCATAACTTGTGCAAGCTCCAGGGAGATGTGAGTCTTGTGCTTTAAAAAAGTTTAGACGATGGTGATGGTGGTGAGAATATGTGGTGAAGAAATTTGGAAGAAGATGAGGTGCCAGAGATTTGTGTCGGAGGTGGGTGTGGTGGTGCCAGCATTTTGGGGCTTTTGATTTTGGGTTAGGTTGAGTTGAGTCGGGTTGGGTTGGGTTGGGTTCGGTCAGGTCGGGTAGGGTGGGGTGGGGTGGGGTGGGTGAAGAAGATAATATGGTTTTTTTGTTTTTGATTTAATTGTTTTATTTTAGTTTTTTTTATATAAAAAAATGAAAAGTTATTATTTTGCACTTTAAAAATTAGTCAATAATTGGTCAGATTTTCAATTTTTGGTCAAATAATTGTCAAAATAACGGTTTCTGTCAATTTGGACTTTTGGTGCGAGTTTTTTAAATGTTTGGTACCGTGGTGGTACAAATAAAAGGCTTAGACAAAGTCTACAACTAAATTAAAGATTTGGTACCGTTGCTGCAATTTTTCCTATAATTAATGGGCACATCTTGTCCATCTCGCAAATGAAATGAGTTCAATTTATTGGTTTTGGGGGGGCATGAATTAGTCGTGGTAGCTTGTACTCATATTTATAAATAGAACGATACAAGAATTTGCAATTCTAGACTTCAGATATGAGAATGAGTGTACTAATCAAATGATGGTGCAAGTGTGAAAATTCAGGGAGGAAATGTCATTACAACTTCAGGGAATTTATTCTTTTTACAATAGTACGTAAATGGGGACTTACTAGTTGCTGGTCGTCCGTGGATAAGATGAAAATACCTATTAATTCCATGTTCGTACCCATACAATACTTGGTATCTATTTCTTGTAAATATCCCCGAATGGAAATTCCAGATCTAGAAGTGTAGCGACAACATTCACACGCCATAGCAAATCAAGGCACATTCGAACGCAATACTTGATTTAACACAAGCATTGTTGTTGTCTCCAGAACTTTCTGCTTATAGACCCTATATAAGGAAAAATACAAACAAATTAATGGAGATAGACATCATACCATATCAGCCATGTGCAAATAATGGGTGAGTATTTAAATTATTTATTGCTTCCTATAATATTTCGCTCTCTACTTAATTTAAGTATACATTTATGATACTAAATTCATTTAACCTAAAACTATTTCTTTCGTAAGTCGAACTGTGAATTTTTTTACTCAAATACATAGAATGCTTCGTTATAAGATATCCAATAGAATCGGTTTCTGCAAACATGATGACTATATACATGCGAAAGATTGCAGTTGATATTTGTTTCAATATGCATCCTCGTTGATCCTGGTACTACTGGATAATCATATTTGTGCAAAAAAAAATGCTGACATTGGATTCATACTTAACAACACAGCTAAATGAATTTCTATACTTACAAACACAGAGGTACATATAAATCAATTATCCTTTATACTTACATACATGTTAAATGTTCACCTTTTGAACTAAATTTTCAATTATGAATTTTTATTCATTGTACCATTTAATGGAGTTCAATCTTGAGGAATAACAAATTGTTATATGTTGATTATTATTTTTTGGTAGTTAAACAATACATGACTTTACATTACCAGCAATTAGTATTTGATTCAATTTGAGTTGGTACAAATTGAAAATTTTAGTTGTATATATTTGGATTTCTTCCAATTGAATTAGTATTGGTAAAGTTCTGTTTTTATTTGTTTTGATGTATTTTTTTATAAATTGCGAAATAATTATTTGTTTTGGATTGATGATATGAAATAGGGAAGAGATTGACTCCGTAAGTGAAACAATGGATTTTTTAGTGATTCATTGAGTGAAGGTCATAGAACATACATTTTCCAAAGTAAATAATAGCGAAAAATTTTGCCATTATTTCATATTCATTGAGGTGAAAAGAGTTAACAGTCGGTTAACTTTTGCAATTACAAGTTTATGTTGTTTAAATTTTGAGTGGAATTCTCTTACTTTGTTGATTATTTCACTTATTATAGTGTAATTAGACCCGCTAACATTACCTAAAAAATAACACAACCCCTGCATTGCACGAGCATAAAACTAGTAATCTAAAAATGTTGTCAATCATGGGTTTAATTGAAAAGATTTTCAAAGTTCGATAAAGTGAAACGGGTATAAATGAACCTAAAGTGGCATAATTTTTCCTCCTATATCACTTTAGAAAATATTATTTTGTCAACTTCAATTCCAACTCTTATTTGGTGGAGATTAAAAATCAGAATTTTAGTAAGTTTTAATAAAAATTGATAAAATGTTTGATTGAAAAATTGTTGATCTCATTAAATATGTGACTAAAATTTAATTGTTCATTTAGATTTAGATTAAATTTTGGATTTTAATTTCACCAAACATGAGCCTAAATATAGCCCCTGTTTGGTCTCCCATTCTCATTTTTTCTTCTTTATTTTATTTTCAATCACACATTCTACAAAAAAAAAAAAAAAAAAAAAAAAAAAAAAAATTTCAAACATTAAAAATTGAAAGAAAGGGGGCCAAATGGGCTGATAATATGTTGGTTAAACTAGTGATTTATAAGGAAAATTCATATTGTAGATCATCATTTATATAATCTTTTATAAATTGATGATGTGTTAAGAAGAAAGTGGGAAACTAGGAATTTTTTCTATTTGATTGATAAGATTTCGACCTAATCAAATCTCATCACACCCATCTATTGATAAATAAAATTTTAAGTTATAATGTATATGTAGCACAATCGAATTTATAATTGAGTCGGTTCTAAATATTGTGATACCAAGCATGTAATGGACAAAGTTGAGAATAACCAATAAAAAATAATCATTGGTTTAGCCACCGTTTGATTACAATTATTTTTCATTAAATTATAATTTATTTTTTTCTCTTTTCTTATCAACAACACATTTTTCAATAAAAAGTGTGTTTGGTAGGGATTTTTAGGAGAAAAATTGATTTTTGAATAGTGATATGATGGGAAATGTGTGGTTGAAAAAGAAGAAAAAAGTATTGATGTGATGGAAAATATTATTTTATTGAAGAATGTGTGGTTGAAAATGAGAAGTGATTTACTGTAGAAAAGGAGAATTGTTACCAAACAGGCTCAAAATAATATTATACGTAAACTCAAAAACTTTTCATTTCTTTTTAAGACCCTGTTGGACACATATTAAAATTTAATTTTCATTTTTTACTTATTTCAATCACACATTTTTTAATAAAATAATATTTTTCATTCTTTCTCAACCACATATTTTTTATCAATTTACTATTTCAAAATAACGTGGCGTAGACAGACCCTTGCGCATGTTCTTAAAAGGTTATTATTGTTCACGTTATAACGTGGAATAATGAGGCGCGTTTACTTTCAATTTCAAAACCAAGAAAAGTAGTAGTGTGGACCACATTCCTAGCTCCACTTCCCTTCCCCTAATCCTCGCCACCTACCCGATCTCAAATCTGGCGGGAAACTTCAAAATTCACAAACCCATTTAGAGGGAAACTCAAAATCTTCAAAAAGTTTCAAAATATTCCATTAATTCGTATAGTAATCATTCATATCTATATATACGTCACTGTGTGGTGCAGATTTTCGAGTTCTTCACAGGAATAATAGTATACAATAATCTGTTCGACAAAATTCCTTAGAGAGTAGAATCTTGAAGATTGCCAGAAAAAAATGTATGTGGTGAAAAGGGATGGGAGGCAGGAGGCGGTGCACTTCGACAAGATAACGGCACGGCTGAAGAAGCTGAGTTATGGGCTGAGCAGTGAACACTGTGATCCGGTGCTTGTGGCGCAGAAGGTCTGTGCAGGGGTCTACAAGGGCGTTACCACTAGTCAGCTTGATGAGTTGGCTGCTGAGACTGCAGCTGCCATGACGGCCAACCACCCTGACTATGCTTCTGTGAGTTCATCATTTTTCATTTAAAACCCTTTGTATGTTATTAATTTATGATTCTGAATTTTGGATCTTTCTAATTTCTGTTAATTTGATAGTTTATTTATTTGAATTCATATTATGTATCCATGTCTCCTTTAAATTTGTTTTCTTTTGCCTCTCGGATTTTTATTGGTACTTTGTTATGCGTAGAGTTAATTTAATCAACTATCACTAGACTTTGCTATAGGTCATCACTTGCTCATCCAAATTCAAAAGGTTGCTCCTTCCTCATTGAATTTTGCTTTATGTTACTAATTGCTCAACGAAATTAATAGATCGATGAGCAAGTAGTAATCATAACAAAGTTTAGTGGCCATTGATTAAATTAACTTGTCATGCATATACAAAAATTCTGTTTTTTTGCTGTGCAATATTCTTTCATAATTCTCAATTCCTTGACCGTAATTATCTCGACCAAAATGTAAATGGAAGCAAATTTGTTGTCTGGATAAATTTGAGGTTAATGTTGAGAAATGTTGGGTTTCATTTGATGAAAATGATGCAGTTGGCAGCGAGGATTGCCGTTTCAAATTTGCACAAGAACACAAAGAAATCATTTTCTGAGACGTAAGTACTCTTACAATTACGTACGGACACATCCAGCACATATTTGTTCTTCAATACATCCCTATATGTAGATTGTGGTTCACGATAGTAATAAGATTTTAAGGTGATCATTATTTGTGTTATTTTTGCAGGACTAAAGACATGTACAGCCATGTGAGCGAGCGATCAGGACTAAAGGCTCCTTTGATTGCAGATGATGTTTATGAGATAATAATGAAGGTATTTCCACTTTTAGTGGATATTGGACTTGATATTAATTCTCCACTGCGTCAATATGGTTGAAGATCTTAAGTTGAAACTAAATTTTCTATACAGTTTTGAAATTAGTTTATGAATATATTATAGAACTTCTACAAAGTTGAATTGCCTAGAAAGAGGAAATGAAAGAAAAGGGATATACAAACAATGTTTGTGTTACATATATATAATGGTTTACATACACGTGGTGGCATATGGTTTGGTCAGAATTTTTTCAACCAAATAAAAAAAATAAATTTATACTTTTCTTTTTTTTTTGCATCTCATCTGTTCATAAATTATTATGTAATTACATTATGTACAAGTAGCATTATTCATACAGACAACATATTTGTTTTATTGATAAGTGCTCAAACTTGAGATCCCAATGATTGTGCCTTGGATTTTTATTTCCAGCTTGTTGCTAACACATTTTTTTTCTCAGAATTCTGCTCGTCTTGATAGTGAGATCATATATGACAGAGACTTTGATTATGATTTCTTTGGTTTTAAAACTCTCGAGAGATCGTATCTCTTAAAAATCAGAGGGAAGGTTGTTGAAAGGCCTCAACACATGTTGATGAGGGTTTCTGTTGGGATCCACAAGGATGATATAGATGCAGCTATCAAAACATATCATCTATTGTCTCAGCGATGGTTTACACATGCATCTCCTACACTTTTTAATGCTGGAACACCAAGGCCACAAGTACGATAATTTTTGATTGCTACTAAACACTTACTTTTTTGTTGATCTTACAGCTAATTGTTTAGATTACTTGTGTGTGAGAATTTTGTAGTTGATGATCACGGTGGTGTATTTGTCACTAATAAGTTCTCTCTTATGTCTCACAGCTGAGCAGCTGTTTCTTGATATGCATGAAAGAAGATAGCATTGAGGGCATTTATGATACTCTGAAAGAGTGTGCTGTTATCAGCAAATCAGCTGGGGGAATTGGTGTCTCTGTTCATAACATCCGTGCTACTGGAAGTTACATTCGTGGAACAAATGGGGCATCCAATGGCATTGTTCCAATGCTGCGAGTGTTCAATGACACAGCTCGATATGTTGATCAGGGAGGTGGCAAGAGGAAAGGTTAGCTACTATGCATTTCTTCTTTTGTCGTTGATGTTTTTGTGATACTCTCTTTTGATTTCTATGTCCTTTCTGTGATGAGAATAGGTGCTTTTGCTGTGTATCTTGAACCGTGGCATGCTGATATCTTTGAGTTTCTTGATTTACGGAAAAACCACGGGAAGGTACTAGAAGCTAGCAATGAACATCTGCATTTTCTTAGTGTTCAAATAATTTTGTGTTTATGTCAATTCATTTCATTCATTATATGAAAGTTTTAAGTTTCTCTCCTTCCTATCTTTTGCAGGAAGAGCACCGTGCCAGAGATCTATTTTATGCTCTTTGGGTGCCTGATTTATTTATGCAGAGAGTCCAATCTAATGGACAATGGTCATTGTTTTGTCCAAATGAGGCTCCTGGATTGGCTGATTGTTGGGGTGAAGAGTTTGAGACTCTGTACACACAATATGAGAAACAGGTGAAGCAAGTTCATTCAATGCACATTAATGATGCATTCTGTTTCACATATAGTATGTTTAAAATTTTCATTTTTTGGCTCAGGGCAAAGCTAAGAAGGTTGTCCAGGCGCAGAATCTTTGGTTTGAAATCTTAAAATCCCAGATTGAAACTGGAACTCCTTATATGCTGTATAAGGTGACCCTGATAACCACATCATCGTTTGTTATAGTTTTATTTTGTGGTTTTTCTGCTTGCATTTTTTCTTATTGTTAACCTTTTTGGTTTTACTCTTCATTTTCCAGGACACTTGCAACAAAAAAAGCAACCAGCAGAATTTGGGAACCATTAAATCCTCTAACTTGTGCACTGAGATAATTGAATACACAAGTCCAACTGAAACTGCTGTATGCAATCTAGCATCAATTGCTCTACCACGATATGTTAGGGAGAAGGTTGTTAAATGGCATATATATTGGAAGAATTAGTCTTTTCTGTTCTTCATTTTCTCTATTCATTTATTTATTTATTTGCATTTCTTTTTTGGCAGGGAGTGCCCATGGAAGCACAACCGTCAAAGCTTGTAGGCAGTATAGGGTGTAAAAACCGATACTTTGATTTTGACAAGCTGGCTGAGGTTTGATACACTTTACTTACTAATTACCAAGATTATTAGTTTCAATTACATGACATGCAAAGACTTGAGTAATTATCTTGATGTTTGATTTTTGACTCTGTTTTAATTGTTCTGTTTGGTAGGTCACTGCATTAGTAACAACAAACCTTAACAAGATAATTGATGTCAATTATTACCCTGTTGAAACTGCAAAAAGATCTAATATGAGACACAGGCCAGTAGGGATTGGGGTTCAGGGTCTTGCAGATACTTTCATTTTGCTTGGCATGGCATTTGATTCTCCTGAGGTGAAGTTACTTTGCTAATCTAATTGCTCTTTCACGTCCATGCCAAATGATTTGGATCTAATTGTACCTTGATTTCAACCGCAGGCTCAAAAGTTGAACAAGGACATATTTGAGACCATATACTACCATGCTTTAAAAGCTTCATCTGAATTAGCTTCAAAAGAAGGTGCATATGAGACATATATTGGCAGTCCTGTGAGCAAGGTGTGATTTTGAGTAGCTTTTCTTACTAATGGACATTTCGCTTCTAGACATGTTTGAATATGTAATTTTTTCTTCAAACAAAAAAAAAAAAATTGTTTTTTTGTTTTTTTTGGAAGTTAGGAAACTCTTACTCTGAAAATAGCTGTACTTGGTCACCACTGTTTGATTAAGTTGCATTTGTATCTTTCAGGGAATTCTTCAGCCAGACATGTGGGGAGTGAAGCCTTCAGATAGATGGGATTGGGATGCTCTCCGAGAAATGATAATGAAAAATGGAGTAAGAAATTCACTTCTTGTAGCACCTATGCCCACTGCTTCGACCAGCCAGATTCTTGGGAATAATGAGTGCTTTGAGCCATATACTTCCAATATCTACAGTCGCCGAGTTTTAAGGTTCTTTGTTCGTTAACATTAATTTACCTCCTCCCAATTTGAATTTGTTTTTTTGCCATCTGACTTTCAAGCAATGGTTGCTCTTTCAGTGGTGAGTTTGTTGTGGTGAACAAACATCTTCTTCATGATTTGACTGAGATGGGTCTTTGGTCGCCTGCTCTTAAGAATAGGATAATCTATGAGGATGGTTCTGTTCAGAAAATTCTAGAGATTCCTGAAGATTTTAAAGTTATTTACAAGTATGCATTTACAGTTTAGAAGTCCCTTGTTATACTTTTTATTGCCAATGTTAATTTGATTTGTTTGTTTATCAGGACTGTTTGGGAGATCAAACAACGAATATTGGTTGACATGGCTGTTGACCGTGGATGCTTCATAGACCAGAGTCAAAGCCTCAACATTCACATGGATCAGCCTAATTTTGGAAAGCTTACTTCTCTGCACTTCCATGCATGGTCAAGGGTAAGTAATACTAGTTTAGATTAGCATTTTGCATTTTTTTCGAGAAGCATCCCATGTTTTTGAAGCAATGCTAGAATGTAAAGGTGCACTAAACAGGTGTGGAAAGCATGTTTGGCTAAGCTTTAAAAAAGAAAGTAAAATCTACTTTTAATCTTCTATTTGTGAAATATAATTTTAAAAGATATTTGATTGGGTGGAGAGTGAGGAACAAAGACCTCAAGCTAGCCCACCTTGGGTGAAGGTTCTGTTTCGTAAGGCTCAGCAAAGATCAAATTCTGTGTTTGACTATGATTGGGCCGTATAATTTCCCTCCCTTGTCAACCTTCAAATGATTCTGTTCCCAGTCAATTGCACCTGCAACCCTTTGTTTTGCCGGCCTTCCTAGCCGTTGAAACACATAAGCAAGACTTTTTTTACCAACATTTTTTTTTTCTAGCAAGTCTTAACTTACTTTCTTAAAAAGTAACTTTTAAGCTTAGCCAAATATGCTCCAAAGATTTGATTTCTTAGGGCTTATGACTTCCCCCCTTTGTGTTTGTTGCCTATGGTGTAAACCTGTGCCTGTTGTCTGTGCTAGGTCTCACTTTTCTGTAAAAGTGGCCTGCCCTGCTTTGCACATTAGTTTTTTAACTGACTAGCCTGTGCTTGCGCCCTGATTTTTGTCCTTGTATCTGGACTTGAAGGGTTTGAAGACTGGTATGTACTATCTAAGATCACGTGCTGCAGCTGATGCTATCAAATTCACTGTTGACACTTCAATGATAAAGGTAGGCACTGTTCAAGGCTGTAATCCTTGTCCCAGTTAATTTACAGTTGTACTAAGTAATTTGTGGCTCTGTTTGCAGGATAAGCCCAAGGTGGTAGCTGATGATGAAAATAATAATATGGCACAATTGGTCTGTTCTTTAACTAACCGGGATGAGTGCTTGGCTTGTGGAAGTTAGAGCTTCATAAGCAAGCATTCTGTCCTTTGGAGTTTGCTGAGGATTCTTTCTCTAGATGCTAAGAATGATGTGTGCTACGTCGAGAGGCATTTTCGGTCGTTGGGATATTATACTTGACATTTGTGCTTCATGGTCTTCGAAAAGTTTGATCAGATGCTTACGTTAGTGCAACTTACTGTATAGGTCCTAGTCAATTCACTTTAGAAGAAAATTATAGGTATTTGTTAACAACTTTTAATTTATGCTTTCTTCACTGTATTTTTTGCTGTGTTTCGATCTGAGGTTATGAGAAATGGGAAGTACTGAAATTTGTGAGAATGTTTTTCTTTTCAAAGTTATTAAGAGCTTTTTCAGCAAAGGGTAATTTTTAAAATGCTTATTTTAAAATGAGCAGTGCGTTTTCTTAATATTGGTGGTACCATGGCTCGGCCCTGTTAAAGGATTGGCCGTAAAAATGTGTCAAGTCTAGGACCAGCTCGTGGCTTGGAATACATGGGCCATCAACCTTTTAAAATTCAAATCAATTTTTGTTTTTTCAAAAAAAATATTAACATGGGCTTGACAGTTAATTGTCGATCTCTATCATTTAAAGGGAATAATAAACAAAATAAACATATAAGAATGACTTTTCAAAACTAACAAACTTGTCTAATTATTTTAAAAATCAGGTGGTAAATAGATTTATTAAATATTAAATTATAATATAAAATATATTAATTATTTACACCCCATGACACCTCACCCACCCCCATCACCTCACTACGCCACTTTCCCTCCATCTTCGGCACCGCTCAGGCGATGTTCCGACGACTGCTCCGACTATTACTCCGGTGGCCGCTCCGGTAACTCGTCGGCGATCACTCTAACGGCTATTCCGACAATCACCCTCGACGCTCGTTTCGGCGGCCAACTTCCAAATTTTTTCAGAATTTTTTTGTCACAATCAGTCACAATTCACAAGTCACAATTGGTCACAAAAGGGCACAATCGGTCATAATGAGTCACAATTCACCAGTCACAATCGGTCACAAAAGGGCACAAACGGTCACAAACCATCACAAACGGTCTTAAACAATCACAAACGATCACTGGATGCTGTTTCCAGGAAGTGGATGAACTTGTTTAAACAAACAAAACATGGGGGAAAAAAAAAACAACTTGCACATCGAATTGGATCAAAAAACTACATCAAATTAGATCAAAAAACCACCAACAAACTCCAGCAATTCAAAAATCAAATCTACTGGGCAACAAATGGCTATCAAAAATAAAGTTTACTTTTCAAAAATCACGACCACCACGGCGCACCACCACATTTACAGACAATACCACCACACAAATAGATGAGAGAAAGAGAACCCCAGCTGTCACAAACACTTGTCCCACACTCCACTCGCCACTGACATCACTACCAACCCGCCTCGCCATCACAACCACACACAAGTCACAAAACTACAATCGCCGGAAAACCCCAGCAGCGAAGCTCATCACCCAAAACCACAAATTACAGACATCACCGACGCTCAACTACAAATCACAACCCACAGTTCGACATCCCCTCGGCGTTGCTCAGATCGAGAAGCGACCTTGCTTGCGGTGGCCCTTCGTGCGGTTGTTCGAAGCGACAGTGGCCCTTTGACGTCTCGGAGTGACGGGCTGCAGCAGACGCCGCTCAATGGTGGTTCCGTCTTCACAACTTTCGCGTGGTAGTTGTCGCCGCGCTGCTTCTTCAGACCGAGGTCGCTCGATGGTGGCGCTTTGAGCACGGTGGTGGTGGCGTTTTGTCTGACGGTGGCGGCGGCGTAGGCGTGGACGGAACCGGCGACGCTACTCCATGGTGGCTGTCGGTCTGTGGGAAGAGATGAGAGAGAGAGAATGGTGGGTGAGATTTTGAAATGAATGGTATGTGGGGAGGGGGGTTAGGTGAGGTGAATATGTAGAGATTATGTTTAATTAAATTTTTATTAATTATAATTATTAAAATTTAATTATCACCTGATTTGTGAAATAAAAATTAATCCACCTGTTTTTTGAAATTGAAACTTTAAAAGTAGATTTCTAGGTAATTTTCTCTCATTTAAATTGGATTGGCCATGGACTGGTTCACTCGAGTTATGAGCCGGTTCATGGGCCATATCATTGGCTAGATCTATCTAGTTTGATATCACTAATTGATGGTGTCAAAATGGGTGGTCGGGCTCAAGCTGTCTGGACTTTTAATGGGTCGATTTGTTTATGAGAATATTTTATAACTAAGAGGTTTAGTTTTACTAATTTTAAATTTAAGAAATTAAGATTAAAATTTTAAATTTGAGAGTTTTTTTAATTTTTTATAAATTAATTAATTAAATATATTTTATAAATTAAATATATTAATATCACAATTTCACATAAATTTGGTCACAAATTCTATTTAATTGATCATAAATTACAATTTTCATACGTTACAAATTATTTTACGGTCACAATTTAAAAATTTTTTAGGTCACAATTTGTTCATCGGTCACAAATTTATCAAATTAATAAATCACATATTATTCATTGATCACAAATTTTATATTTCACAAATTTTTTTACGATCACAAAATGTCAAATTAATTGATCACAAATTATATTTAGGTGACAATTTATCAAATTATTAAATATAAATTAATAAATTTTTAGGTTACACAGTATGTATTGATCACAATTTATCTGTTTCATTGGTTACATATTGTTTATTAGTCACACACCAACCAATTTATTGGTCACAATCAATCAAATCATTTGTGACCACCACCACACAGTTGCAACAGCCTAAACCACCATCGCCGAACCACCGACACTACCTCTCGGCAACAAAACCATTGTCTCGAATTTGATAAGTTGTGATTGTCACAATCGCAGCCGTCATCGCCACTGTAGTCAACAACAACAAATCAGATCCAAAACCGACAACGCTCCACAACCGTCATCACCTCACAGCCGTCGTCATCGCCATCACCTCATCGTTGCCGTCATCACCACCACCACCACCACCATTTTCAGCCACCACCATAACTACCTTATCTAACCTACACATCTTCGCAGACCTATTAACAAGAAACCATCACGGAAACAATACCTCACTCCCCGCCAGTTCCGCCACCATTACGTGACCAACCACCGCACATCATTGTCGCTAGATCCACCGCCATCATCAAAACCACCTTACCAGCACCAGCACTAGCACCAGCACTGCTAACATCAACACCAACACCAACAAAATAGATCCAAAACAACCCAACACCCTACAATCGCCTTCACATTATAGTCGCCGTCGCCACCACCACAGCCCCGACCTCCACTTGCACCATCAACAAAAACCTCAACAACTCATCACCACGCTCACCACCGTGGCGTCGCTAGATCCAACATCACTGTTGCGCACCTCTACGTGCACAACCAACAAAAACCCCCCAACAATACCAAAACTACCCCAAACCACCACCACCACTACCACCACACCCCCAGCAAATTCACAATCGCCACTGTTGAAAACTAACCGCTGCTATCAAATCTTCTTACACGGGATTATGCAGCCGCCGCTCGTGTCGCTGTGGTGTATGTGGCAGTCACGTCGACGCTGTAGAGAAAGGAAGGAGAGAGGATAAAATTAGGCTTTGGTTGGATGGGGATGGGTGGGTATATAGATTAATTTAGTTTTAAAATTATTATTAATATTTAAATGTTTAATTATGTTCTGATTTTTATAAATATAAACTTTAAATAAGACTTTTGAAATGTTAACTTAAAAATTCTGGTTTTGCGTAATTTCCTCATTGGTTATCCATCCTGACCACTATTAAAAGGCTTTTGTCAACATAACTAGAAGATAGGTTTGCACATCACATGCTTACCTTATTAGATTTGTTTAACTTCCATGCTTTGGTTGGTGCGAGAAGTGAGAGATGGCCTTGTTAGTAGGGCTGCTTGAAAATAATTGAACTTCAAACCGAACATGATTTGTTGGTTTCAAAGTGTCGATTTTATTTTGAGTGGATCGGTCAATGTTTTAGTTTTGAAATGAATCAAATTGTTAAGAATCGATTTGATTTATGTATAGTTATTTTAAAAAATCACTAAAACCGAACTAAATTATGTGTGTCAACAATAAACTTCTAGATGTTCGATGAAATATATTATGCTCCTATTTGATTTTGGTTAAAAACGAAATTGTCAGTAGATTTTGAAAAAAAAAAGATTAAATGTGTGATTAAAAAGTCAACGAAAGTTATAAGTTTCATAAAAGGTGTGATGAAAATGAGTTCGAAAAAAAAAAAAAAAACTGAGTTTTAAAACAATGGAACAAAACAGTGGGCTATATGTCCTGGATAGTCCAACTTGAGGGACTGACCCACATGGGGTCATGTGGGGTCAAATGACCCACAAATTTTTTGATTTTTTTTTTTCCTTCAAGAAATAGTTGTTTAGACCCCTTTACGACCTATTTTCATTGTACATTATGAAATGTCAAATAAAATCGAAATATAGCATTTTTAATACCATTTCAAAGTGCTTCTAACCTAGTTTTTTCGCTCGTTAATGACGTGCGCAATGATCAATCATAACAAAAGTTACGACGTATCAAAGTAAGTCGTTTCAAACTAGCATTTCGAGAATTTCGATAATATACTAACTTTCAAAATTCTCCAATGATTGTATACTATTCGAATCCACAAATCGCCTACGTCTTCCAGAAGCGTGTTTTGAGAACTACATTATAGTCATATTGTATGGTCCAAATGGATATCGAAAATAGTTAAATATGCATCAAACGTACATCTTAAAAGAGACGTCTATCTTGTCTCTTCTTTAAAAGTTTTCAATTATTTCATTAACGTTTATTATGCAATTTTTTAAAATATAATTTACATAATTTTATTAGGAAATATTATAGGGAATATGAAGTCAAAGATTTTATGATTGTTAAGGATTAAATGTAATTTGAATTACTTTTGCATTAAATTTAAATTTCATTT